AAAGACCTGGGGATGTGAAAATGGGTGTCTTCACAAAATAATATGTAGTTTGGTATGTTCATTAAATAATATGATAACTTCCAAAGGAAGTGTCGCATAATGTCCCCAAGACAATCTTTAGGGGAAAAAAGGGACAAACACATGGAAGCCAATACACTCACCTTTCTTGCCCATTCATTTCATCGGTCACAGTTAGGTGAACACTGACCTTTCATTTTTCTCACAGAGAAATTTGTCCCAGAGTCAGTACATTTTTTTTCCTTCTTATATTTCTCAAGGTCATTGTCATAGCATGATGTGTGAAATGTGGTCCTGAGATCACATGGAAGTTACCTTCTGTGAATATCGTTGCTGTATGAGTGTCTGATCCCCAATTTCCCCCAAATCCCCCGCTCTCTGCTTCTTTCACAAACTGGCTGTGGCTTAGGTTAGGACCACTCCAGATGGAATTTCCTTGGGGAAGGGAAGTGTTGGGAGAGAGGGGAAGGGATATAGAAAAGACAATTCAGGGGGACGTGCCCGGGAAAGCACACTGAGGAGAGCACAGTCACTACCTCGCTTGTATTTTATGCTACTGTCAAAAACCAGTATTTGGAGGAAGTGCAGGCTAAGTTACCTGAGTGATTTCGATTGTTTTGGTATTTTGTTCTCAGCACTTAAGTGACCAGATCACAATATTCATCTATAAATTAAATTCAGTATTAGCAAAATATTTGAAAAATAATCTTCTATTGCAGTGATTTAAACTTTATAGGATCACAAACCCCTCTGAGAACTTACTCAAGAATTATTAACTCTTTCCAGAAAAATGCACATGTGTGTAATGATTTGGAAAAATCATCTTAGTAGCTGTGAGCATGTCTAGAGAGTCATCTTTGTTGCAAAGCATGTCAAAAGTGAAGTCTTTTTTTTTTTTTTTTGAGTCAGAGTCTCACTCTGTCACCCAGATTGGGGTGTAGTAGCACAATCACAACTACCACAGCCTCTACCTGCTGGGCTGAGGTGATCCTTCCACCCCAGCCTTCCAAGTAGCTGGGACTACAGGTGTATGCCACCATGCCTGGCTAATTTTTTGATTTATTGTAGAGATGAGATCTTACCAAGTTGCTCAGGCTGGTCTTGAAGCCCTGAGCTCCGGAAGTCCTCTCACCTTGGCCTCCCAAAGTGCTGGGATTACAGGTGTGAACCCGGCCAAAAGTGAAGTCCTAACCAAAATACCAAGATCTAATAGACATAAAATTCCACAGCCAGATCACCATTTGCAGATTTTCTGAAGGAAGTGGTTGGAAACTGGTTCACGAGTCCTCAGTTCCTCCCTTAGTTGGAGACTATAAAAGGATAGAATTTGGCTTTGTGAGAGATTTCTTTGGAGAGAGTTGTTACCTTGCTATGAGTACCTGTTCCTATGCCTGGGTGTAGGGGGTTACTGTGTCCCTCACCCCTCACCAAGGAGGGGCTTCCTTTTGATGGAGTAGCTGAGAGAAACATAGGCCCAAAAGACTAAAGAGGTGGGGGAGGGAGGATAGAGGAGCCGTGTTGGGATCACGCCCAGGTGTGGAGGGTGAACACTGTATGACCAGATACTGGTTGGGGCAGAGAATGATTTGCTGGAGCTGGAAGAGTAGTGGCATGCATGGAGTGAGTGCCGGTGTCCAAGGGCCAAGGGCCGAGGCCGCCGTGGGGAGTGGAATGTGTCATGGAACACAACAGAGTTGCAGAGAGAGGATTCAGCAGTGGGCGGCGGTGTCATCCTCGGGGTCCTGAGAGTGAGTTCTTTCAGCCTGGGGAGAATTGTCTTAATCCCTTGACACTCATCCCCAAATTCCCTTCTATCCCGGTGGAGTCCACAAAAGCAGCCAGGGAGAGAGGAAGGAGGTGAGGCTGGAAGACAGTGCAGAAGCCGACCACACGCCTGTCTCCGAACTCAGGCCTCAGCATGGGAAAAGTAGAAAATGAATGGGCGAACAGCTGAATGCAGATTGAAATATGGATTGCAATGGAATTGGGAGTGAGTGTTTTTGACATGGAGAGGCCAAAGGTCTGACACTACTGAAGACCAACTGTAAAGCTCATGGCACCTGGCCAAGTTTCCACCCAGGGCCAGGCAAAGATTCCTGCACACCCTTTCTCCCACTCTCACATTTTAAAGGGGGAATGAGACACAAAAATAAATTTACACCTTGACCACACTTCATGAATCACACAGCCCTATTTTATACCCACTGTAGGATGGAAGCAGACCTCCCAGACCTGTGTGAAGCTGGTCCTTGGGTTTCATGTAGAGAATGGAAGCTGCTTTGGCTAAGAAACCTGGGGAGGAATTTGATGTCAGAGGAGCCGCAAGCTGAGTCTGGGGGTAGCAGGACAGGCTACATAACATGCAGGGCTCCGTGCAAAATAAAAACGTGGAGTCTCTTGAAATTATTACAAATTTCAAGACAGTGACAGAAGAGCATTTAATCAAGTGTGGGGCCCTGAGACTGCAGGGTTGTAAACCCATGAAGCCACCTTGGAGTGAGCAACCAAGGTCAGAAAAAAGGAGATCTGTTACGGGCTCACACCTGTAATCCCAGTACTTTGGGAGACTGAGGCAGGAAGACTGCTTGAGCCCAGGAGTTCAAGATCAGACTGGGCAACATAGTGAGACCTCATCTCTATAGAAAAAAAATTAAAAAATTAGTCAGGTGTGGTGGTGCACACCTACAGTCTAGGCTACTCTGGAGGCTGAGGTGGGAGGATTTCCTGAGTCTTGTAGGTTGACACTACAGTGAGCTGTGATCGAGCCACTTCACTGCTACTATACTGCCTGGGTGACAGAGTGAGACCCTGACTCAAAAAAAAAAAAAGGAAGGAAATTCTGTTAGTGGTCCTGTTAATGAAAGACGCAGGAGATGAGGCCCTCTTCACGATCCCGCAAATCCTCAGCAAAATCACCAACTCTACGTAGACTTATGGGATAGCTTTCCTGTGGAAGCCAATAAAGGGGCTGGTGTGGGGCCACCACAGAGTAAGCCAGTGGATAAGGAGACAGTCAATACCTAGTTACTTGGCTAGCATTTTCCCACAAATTCAGGGATTTAGGGAAAGAACCCATGTTCTACAATAAGAAATTTCCTCGTGTCATATGCTATCAAGAAACCAAGTGGCTTTTTGTTTATTTATTAGTCTAGCAGGATGTCACATGATATTTTCTCTTGCGTCTGGGCCCAAGCCTGAGGTACTGAGACGCTATATACCCGACATTGTAAAGAAAACCATGGATGGCAGGAACCAGACACGCCTTATAGTTTGCTAAGAGCTGGCAGAGCCATGGCTGTCCCTCCTTAGTCGTGTCCCTCCCAGATGTGTAGATATGAGAGTTTGGCCTAGAGGGGGCCTGCTGCAGCTACCTCTCCCCCAGAAGCCAGTAAGAGGGGCTCCTAGAAAATCACGTGTAGAGATAGGCACACTGGCATGGTGTTACTTCTGACTGGCTGTTTGCTTAGGCAGTAGGCTTATGGTCTGCCCCTGCCTCTACTAAACAAGGGAAAAAGAGGTGAGGCTGGGGGGGTCGCAGAGGAATGGCAGCCTGCAGTCCTGCCCTTGTCATGCTGGGATGACTGCTTTTTCTAGGCATCAGGTGGGCTCTGGGAAGGTAGCTGGTGTGAGCCTTTCTTTCAGGCAGTCAGAAGCGGTGGGGAGAACAGGTAAGAGGAGGATTGATGGAAGAGATCAGGTGACATCCTCCAGTCAGTGTCCAAGACAGTGTGAAGACCCCTGGAAGACTTCCCAAAGAACTCTCTTCTAGAAGCAGCAACTTTATTCCTAGAGGGATGAGACAGCTTCTCTTGACCTGCCCATCCTTACCCCTCCCTTGCCCACCCAAACACCCTAGAGGATACAGATGGGTAGTTTGTTTCCAGGGTCTACCATCCCCCACCCCCCCACCGTCCTACCTCTGAGATGGGAAAGGGGAGGAAGAGAGAAAGAACAGACTTTACCCCCTTTCACTTCAGGTCCTTCCATCCACCAGCCCAGCCAGTGACGGGGGAGGGGACACTTTATTTTGGATATAAGGTTGGTGTCTTCAACTGGTCTTGATGGAATTTTTTAATATCAAGAAGTGACCAAGGAAGTTAAGGACCGTGTCCAGGGTATCATTAAGGGATCTCTACCCAGCAGGAGAGGGAGATTCAACAGGGCCCAACTGGGGCCAGGATAGAAGAAAAATAAAGCCATTTCCTGTGTGCACCCTACGGAGTTGAGAGTGTTCAATAAACCAGTTACATCTGATTAAGGACTTCATATTCTTAGGACGAAAGTTGAGGCGCTGTGCATTTGTGTCGTGGTGTACTGCTAGTTGTGGAATAGCCAGATATTTTTGCAAATCAAAAGCTTACAATGCTAAATGAGGAGAAAAGAGACACACCAGAGGCAAATTTCTGGAGGTAGATAGACACTAAAAGAGGTAACTAATAGTTGCCTTTTTCCTTTATCTTCTTAAAATTGGAGTGTTTTTATCTTACACAGACATACGTCAGGTTTTAAATTTCAATCTATCATAGATTCACTAATAGAAAAATGGATATACAAGAACACGTTTACAAGTGATTTATTATCCTTGTTCACTTGCTTGCCAACCATGTTATTCTGTTAAATTATTTAATTTTCATAATCATGTTTGTCATGCTACTCTTCCATTTAACTTAAAAAAAAAATAAGTGTAACTGTGCCCATGACGTTTATATAAGGTAGTGTTGTGGCATCTCTCTCTCTCTGTTTTTCTCCCCCCTTTACCAGAGATTTCTTAAGCATTTGCAATGAATGCTCTTTTTATTCACACAAAAATTACTTCACATTACAAATATTCTTTAAATTGTTTTTATAACTTTCAAGATATATCTGTACTGACAAGGAAAAATTGCCATGGGTGATACATAACCTCGTGGTCTTCACTACAGAACTGTTTGTGAATTGCACGCCACACTTTCCACCATCTTTAGGGACGGACTCCAGATTTCTTATTTTTCTTGTTTCAATTCTGCATCATCTATTGTCTTGAATACCAGTCTCCTAAAATGTAAGCAGCACAGAATGATCTCATCCATCAGAACAATAGCATGCAAAAGCATAGAAAAATACCAACCATAATCCTAATTGCCTAATTATACTTAAGTTGAATTGTGTTGCACTTGAACTGCGTGAGATATTGACGGGATGCTGAATTTGTGATGGGCACTCAAACTCAAACGTTTCCCATGGACTACTACTACCAGCATCTGATTAGTTGTCAAATTCTGCCTCTGTGTTGTACCCTAGGACACCTTGGCAGAAGCGTCAGCGTTCTCCCTTTCCTGATGAATGATGCTGCAAGTCCTCATCTGGACCCTGAATGTCTGTGCTCTCTGCTCAGGCTCTGTCCATCTGGCATTCTCTCCTCTTCTCTTCACATACTCTATCGTCCTGCCAAAGGGAACCTTGGCTGTTCTTGGCTCACCTTGCTGTAGTGCTTTTGCTCACACTCTTCTCTTTGCCTGAAAATGACCTCTCTCCTCCCACCAGACTCAATGTTCAAGAGAGCTGTCTTTCAAAGGCAGATTTCCACATACACAAACATCCTCCTCTTTCTGACACTCTCTAGGACCTTATTAGTGCTTTTTGTATTTCATTTATTGTAATAAATATTGAGGTCTTGCTCTTACTACTTGGCAGACACAGTTCTAGGCACTGAGGATATGGCAGTTGACAAAAATTATGGAATTTTTAGAACTGAAATTCTAGTAAAGGCAATAGAACCTAAATATATATCTCAGATGGAGATAAGTACCTTGGGGAAAAAATACCTCAGAAGTGTTCTGAGAAGGTCTCTGTGATAAGGTGACAGTCTGCCACCTTGCTTTCTTCAGATCTTAACCTGAATCATGTTCTAATTTGTATAAATTTTTTTAATCATATACTTTCTACTAGACAATAATAGGTAGGCAGCTTAATTTTTAATCTCTTATAGTACTTTGCACTCTGATGTGTGCATAGTGGATAATAAATATTTCTTAATTAATATAAAGAGTGATTATAACAGAAGTTGTTTATAAAATGAGATCTAGAAAAAAAATTTTTTGATTAAAAGTCAGAGAAGGGCTGGGCGCAGTGGTGGCTCAGCCTGTAATCCCAGCACTTTGGGAGGCTGAGGTGAGAGGATTGCCGGAGCCCGGGGGTTCGAGACCAGCCTGGGCAACTTGGTGAGACCTTGTCTCGACAATAAACCATAAAAACTAGCCGGGTGTGGTGGCGTGCATCTGTAGTTCCAATTACTTGGCAGCCTGGGGCAGAAGGATCGCCTAAGCCCAGTGGGTTGAGGCTTTCTTAGGAACTTATTTTGAAATGATATAGTCCTTTTTAAGGTTTCTGGACCAGCTCTGTGTCACTGCCCATGCACGGCAACTGGTTTTCAGGGATTTACCTTGCCTGCTTTCGATCTGGGTTCTGGGTTTCTGGGTGCTGGCAGCTCATGGAGTAAAGCAGCTTGTGGACCGAGGGTGAATGTGTGGATTGTTGACGCAAATCACTCAGTGTTTCAGAGACACTGTTGGCTGTTGCCGTTCTTCCAAACCTTTGGGGCAGATTGGGAACACGTCTCGAAATGCTCATCTCCATGCTTCCAAATCTCAGAGGCAGGTTGTCCATTGCCTCGTTGCTTCTTTCTGCTTCCAGCGTCCTCCCGAATCTCAATGGCAAATTGGCTGCTGGGTGTGGCATTTTGTTGGCTGGCGGTGGACTCATCTTAATGACAGTTTTTGGCCCCCAGTCTTTTAAATTTTCCAAATTGAGACTTCTTTCCTTTTCCCCTTTTGGGTGTCCTTTAGGCTATAATTAGAAATGACCATTACAATAATATGTCATTGTTATAAGCGATGGATTTAAACCCCAAATTCACTTAAATCTAGACTTTAATCAGGAGAATTGCTAAAGCTATAAACAAAGTTTGTGTTCTTATATGCAGAATTCTTTAATAAATAATTTGTGTTAAGCTTCTTAAAGCAATCTAGTTTCTCTGTCCCTAGACTATTATAAGACAACTATGAAATATTAATAAAGTATATATAGTAAATAGAGCAATGAGTATGAGCAGTGGGAATATAATAAAGTATTGCAATGAGGCAAAAGTTTATTTTACTGCAGTTATTCTCTTTCAATTTTTTGATTCATGTTGTTTATGAGATATTATATATGTATACACATATGCATATATTAGGGGTGTGTGTGTGTGTGTGTGTGTGTGTGTGTGTGTGTATTTATTTATTTTTAGTTAGAATCTCATTCTGTAGTCCAGGTTGGAGTACAGTGGTACTATCACGACTACTGCAGCCTTGACCTGCAAGGCTCAGGTGATCCTTCTGCCTCAGTCTTCCAAATAGCTCTGACTACTGGCACATGCTACCATGCCCAGCTAATTTTTTGATTTATTGTAGAGATGAGGTCTCTCTGTGTTGCCCAGTCTGGTCTTAAACCCTGAGCTCAAGCAATTCTCCCTTGTTGACCTCCCAAACTGTTAGGATTATAGGTGTGTGCCAGGGTGCTAGGCCCCCAGAAAACAATCATTTAAAAATCTTCATATGGATAAACTTTCATGGCAAAACTAAATCTATTTAAATATTCACTGTATTTTAAATAGTTCCTATACAGTTGGTATATTTGTGGTGCATAACCCATAAACCAATTGGTTTTTTACTAAACACGTAATTTATATTCTAATAAAAATACAATTGGTTTCTTGGGAAGTGCTTTTAAGGAAGAACTCTGAGTAAAAGGCAGTAAAAAAGAAATTCAGCCTGGTGCAGTGGCTCATGCCTATAATCCCAGCACTTTGGGAGACCAAGGCGGGAGGACTGCTTCAGTACAGAATTTTGAGACCAACCTAGGCAACAGAGTGAGATGTTGTTTCTACAAAAATAAAAAAAATTAGCTGGGTGTGGTGGTGCATGCCTATAGTCCCAGTTTCTGGGGAGGGTGAGGCAGAAGGATTGTCTGAACCCAGGTGGTCGAGGCTGTGGCAAGCTGTGATTCAAAAAAAAAAAGAAAAAAAAAAAGAAATTCTACAGAGCCTCCTACAATTGTACTCTCAAACCTAGCTAGTATCTGTTTCTATGTAACATGTTTTTATGTACCACCTTGGCACTTAAAGAGAGGGGAAACAAGAAACATGAAAAGGGAGTAGGAGCTTTCTCTAAAATCAAAATATAAAAATATATAATACTCGCTGGGTATGGTGGCTCACACCTGTAGTCCCAGCACTTTGGGAAGCTGAGGTGAGAGGATTACCTGAGCCCAGGAATTCGAGACCAGCCTGGGCAACATGGCAAGACCTTGTCTCTACAATAAATAAAAAAATTATCTGGGCGTTGTGCTAAATAATGCCAGTTAGTTCAATACACTGTCACAGGAAGACTGAAATTTGACCAAAAAAACAAAGCACAAACTAACTTGCTCCTTAGTCTTTAAAAAAATCATTAAACTTAGGACAAATATATAATTAATACTAGTCATATGAGTTAGATAGTTTTTAAAAACTTACCTCAGAATATTTGTCATAATTTCCTTTGCTGTGAAGATTGGACATCATTAATTCATCTGTACAAAGGATGTTTGATGTTAACAAGCTTGATATGGCTAAAGTCAATAAAATGAGTCGTTTTGATGAAATAATTTTCATTTTGTTCAAATCTAAAATTACGCTTATATGTGCAGTCCAGTGTCTACAAGAAGAAAAATTATGGTGTTTTATACCATCTAAAAACAAAGGAAAGTTTTTTTTTTTAATAGTGAAATCAATTCCACATATTTGAAGTACTAATATTAATTATAGTGTGTAACTAAAAAAAATGTGCATGTTAGGAATGTGGGTAATTCATTCTGGGAAGACAGCAATGTTTGTACTTGCAAATTCATTAACTTTGAAAATAATTTTCCTCATTATGAAAGAGCTTATAATTAGGTAAGTTTGGGATGATGGTAATTAAGATTCCAAACAAACAGCATGCTTCATTTCTCTGAGCTTAAACAAAAAGTATTTTGTTTATGGTGTTTGTGCCAATTCTTGAGAGAAGAAAAAAGTATTCAATATACGCTGGCTATGTTGTATTTTTCTTTTTTAAAATCTACACTAAAGAGTTAGGCATAGTGTTTTCAAAATGTCAAACAAAATTAGGAATGGGAAAAAATTACAATAAAAATGCCATGAATTCATTTTTTGTAAAATGCTATCTGGCTATTAAACAGCTTCGGGAGTAAATGTCAGCTATAACAAGAAGGATGTGCGTAGGAGTGAATATTCGACAGGTCTCTTTGACAAACTGCCGTCTCCGGAAAAGCAGGAGGCTGTCAAGACCCTTTGTACTTGCCCTGTGTCTTATTTGGCAAAACTGCACAAATCTCCAGAATTGTATTTCTATCAAGGTGCCACATCCTATCGCCTTCTTTCTCAAAGACCTTAAGAACATAGACACAAGCCTGGTAAATCACGCACATGCTAATTTTGTGTCTCCCAGGGCCCATATTATTTAGGGAATCTCACATTGCCACAGGCATACTAACATCATGGCATTATAAGAGAATTGACAGAAATAAATGCATATTTACTGAAATCCCAAAGCAAGTCTCTTTTGGAATAGCTGACTGGTATTCTTAAAATCTACCTTATCACCACCAGACTGGGTTTCAGAGATACCTGTGCTTGTTCACTGTACTTCAACACTCTCAGGAGAAAAAGACCTTCCAGGGATTTCCAGCAGGCCAGCTACTTCTAGACAAAGACACTTAGAAGTAATTCACAAGGAGTCATAACATTGCTTGTTGTGTCAAGAATTGTGCCACCTATCGCTTCTCTCACCAAACTACCAGGCATAATTTAAGGTATAAGATGGCAGAAGGGAAGACCTTTCTCTGTACTGATCTTCAGAATAAGCCAGAAAGTTGAAAACAACAGTAGGTGAGCTCTTGTGTTGCCTTAACATCAAACTTGCCTGGAAGCTCTCTTAAGGCATTTGACATCATTGGCTTCATTTGTTTTGGTCTGTGGTAGCCAAGAATTCCCGCAGTAGGAGGCCATTAATTCAATTCATAGTCTGTTGTTAATTTTGTAACGCTGTTATTAGATTATTTGGATTTAATTTCCCTGAGGATTTAATACATTTATCTTCCAAATTGTTCGTTGGCAAACTGCTGATGGAACTTTTTTTCTTTGTGGTCAGTAGATCCAAACTTTTGAGAAATGTGTGAAGCAAGAGGCAAGTTTTGTTGACCGCATTCATACCCCAGAAGAAGCAGAAGGCATCAGCCTGGGTCTCTTTTAAAACATATCTGTATCTAGTTGTCACTTTTTGAGTAACAGTGCAGCAATTTTCAGTGCTGCTACTTGGGGTGTTGGCTCAACCATTAGGGCTTTTCTGATTCTGGTCAGCATCGAGAGGAGTCGATGTGCCTGGTTACTCCTCTGCCTCCACCAGGTTGGGTATCCAAGTTTGGAGGATAATTAGAGTTATCTTATTAATATAGGACTCGGCTTTTTTTCAACCAAATCTTCATTTAGCTTTGAAAACACTAAATGTAGAACAACATTATCTGACACACACAGGATGAAATCACTATAAATCTTTAGGTGAAATGTGTGGCTACATACACACATTCAGATTCATCAGTTTAGGGCTCCTTCATGAGACATATGAACATACAAAAAATTAAAGACAAACAAAAAAAGACCTACCTGACTTGTAGCATGCTTCACTTGTTAAGCTTTTAGTAGCTTTAAGACTACTCATTTCTAAACTTATCTCTCTAAACTGGTCACTTCTCTTGAGCTTTAGAGATCCCATCCTCAGATACTCAGCTTCCCACCAGACAGTGCTGTTTGGATGTCCCTCAAGTATCTCAAGCTTATATATCCAAAATACAATTTATTGTTTCAATTTCTTCTCCTGTTTCCCATTTCACTGAATAGTACTGCAATTAGTCAGGGTCCAATCAGGAGACCGAAAACACATAGTAATCTGAACATGGAATGACTAAAAAATTATTAAATATACCAGGGAATTAACTATAAAGGGGTAAAGAATACAGTAGGGAGAGTATCCAAGGAAAGAACAAACTCACTGGAACTCAGACCATACTGGGGAAAGTGTGGATGGCAGGAGATTTGCTGGGTTGCCCCAGGCCAGAGCTCATCTGTGGTCTGAAGCAGAAAACCTCCTTCTGGTGTGCAGGTAGGTCAAGACAGGGAAGGTAACTTCTGGAATGTCTGTCAGACTCCTGGGAATCTTCCACTGGGACTTGATGAGGGTGAGCACCCCCAGATGTCCCCCACATGCACTGCTGGTGGCCACACACAAACAAGCAAACAGAAGCACACTTGAACCAGGAAGAGAAATTCCTTTCTGCCACAGTGACCCTTCTGTGCCTTTTACTGACAAACCTTAAAATTGTGCTTGTTGCAAAGGAGAAATGCTTACTGGATCCATGTACCTGATCTCAAAGCGTGCATTGAAGAGTAGATTTGGAACTGAGAGGCAATATGCCAGATGACTGGCATGGTTGCTGTCATCTGTCCATTTATCTAAGCCAATATCTTTTCTAAGATCCTTGTCTATTTCCCTTTTCTCCCACATCCCATTCTACAGTTGTTGAACAATTGTGTTGTTTCTAGTTTTGTGATATTACTCTCAATAATAATAATAGACAATATTTTTTGAGCACTTATCATGTGCCAGGAACTGTTCTAAATGCTTTGTGAATTGGCTCACTTATCCTTCACAACAATCCCCTGAGCAGGTACCTTGATTGTTCCTACTCTACAGATAGGGAACTTAGGTGCAGAAGGATTAAGTAGCTTTCCCTATAAGTGTTAGAGCCAGGATTTGAATCTAAGAAGTCTGAATTCTTGAAGACTATGCTAGTCTGCCCAATCAAGTCTGTTCTCTTCCAACTTCTAAGAAGCACTTAAGTCTGCTCATTTCTATCCGTTGCCAAGATTTGATTTGTCATTTTCTTTTACCTAGATCCTTTTCTTGGTTTTTTCCAATCTTTTCTCCATGCTGCATTCAAAAACACTTTTATGAAACATAATACATTTATGACTTTCCTCTTTAATATTTTCAATGGTTTCCCATTTCTCCCAGAATCACTCAGGTGGCCCACTCTTCATGATCCGTACTCTGCTTATTTCTTCAGTGTTTATTCTTATCACTCCCACCAACTCTCTGCTTTAGGACAAACTTCTTTCCATTCTTCCAAGTGGATAAACTTTCTCTTGTCTCTAGGCCTCTGTCTGTGGTTTTTCTGTGCATCAGATTTTTCTGTCTACTTGCCTCTCTCTTTCTTATACCTATTTATTGTTTGGGTCTCAGTTTAGGTATCACACACTGTGAAAAGTCTCTCTTGACTTCCAGCTTCAAGAGAGAGCTCTTTTCTCTTTAATATTCATTTCTCTTATCACTCCAACTCATCCTGTCCCTTCCACTGTTCCACAAACTTTTTGAGGGAAGGACCTTGCTTGTGCAGTAGATCTCAGTGATATTCTATTGTCTGTTACACAGACTCTCAGAAAATTTTATTTCTAAGTGAATGAATTAATTTTTCATTAGAATTGGAAATAGGTGTTAAAACTGAAGTTGTTTGCTAATTATTTTTCCCAGTTTTGGCCATTGCCAGAGTTTTTTTATTTACTGTGACTCATGTATTGTTAGAGCTTAGGTTTCTGGCTTGTTCTGAAATAAGCTTATCTTAACAATCTCCAATTGGAAATTTACATTCAAGACTTTTCCAGGCTGACACCCATACATGGACATTTAGATATAAGTAGGTTGAATGTGAGTTTAGGTTCCTTCTGTTATAGTTGAGCATGTAGTTTGGTAAATTCAATGTGTTCTGATAGATCTTACTGGGTTGATGAAGCATCAATTGTACCCAGATACCAGGAAAGGTGTGAAAAGGGACTGCACAGCCTCAAGGAGGGCTTCCAGATGATGCTTCATGGTCTCTCACCAGGTAGACTTGGGGACAAAAAAGACTTCTCTGCTTGTTTATTATCTTTCTATGCCCACTAGCTGTACCATAACCCCTGGAAGGCAGTTAGAGTGGGAGATCATTCATTTCCACCAGTCTGAAAGGGAGCCAACTTGAGTTTAAACTTAGATCTTTGTAAAGGTCTAATCTGTCTGCACTTCTACTAAAAAATTTTTTTAAATTAATTAATTTATTTAGTCGGGGTCTCACTCTGTTGTCCAGGCTAAAGTGCAACGGTACTATCATGGTTCACCACAGCCTTGACTTCCTGGGTTCAGATTACCCTCCCATCTCAGGCTCTCAAGTAACTGAGACTGTGGCACCACACTATCATGCCCAGCTAATTTTTGTGACTTTTTTGTAGAGACAGGGTCTTACTATGTTGTCCAGGCTGATTTCAAACTCCTGGACTCAAGCAATCGTCCTGCCTCGGACTCTCGAAGTGCTGGGATTACAGGTGTGAGCCATCTCACCTGGCCTTATAAAATGTTTACAATGAGAGATTGCTTTGGGGCCATGGGCTGCAAGTTTCTACTTAAATCTTTATGTAGAAGGGGCAGTTCACTCCATACTTTGATCCATACTTCCTGAGGCCGGTGTGAGATCTACTCAAAAGGTAGCTAATTTTAATATCCAGAGGAACCTCATTGCAGAGACCTTCTCCTCAACCAAG